CTTTGGCTGCACATTAGAATCACCTTGGAATCTTTTTGAAATCCTGATTTCTGAGCCTCATCCTCCGGAAATTCTGTTTCTTTGTTACTAATGTTGTGGCCCCACCCCATAACAAAGAAACAGAATTTCCAGAGGATGAGGCCCAGAAATCAGGATTTTAAAAAGATTCCCAGGTGATTCTAATGTGCAGCCAAGGTTGAGAACCACTGCTTTAGTAGATACTGTCATACAGTGTTCTAAAGTTCTATTTCTCTAAATTACACATCTTAAGTGTCCTGACAAAAATTATATTAGAATTTTTTGACCCAAGCAAGTCTTAATATGTTTTGTATTCTTGAGATGTAAATTCCAATTAATCAACTATTCTCTACATTTCTTATTAACTCATCTTTGACTGTCTTTTTAACATCTAACATAGGATATGGTCTCCGTGTGTATTGCTTTGGATCCTATAGTTAGAGCTGGAATATAAATTAGTATTTTAAAGGTATATTTTATGTGTTTATTTTATTCATAGTCTTAGCAACAATCTATATGTAATCAGTATGATTCATGAGATAAAGAACAGTTATTATAAACTTATGTAGGAAAATCTTTCATGATTTTATTTATAGCAGGGAAAATGAGGTAAAAGCATATAATGAATATACATGAATAAAGAAATTCTTTAGAAACTATATGTGTGTTGCACATGTTATCCAGGCACGTGGCTACTTAAGGAATAGGTTTATAGAGCTATACCATTTATTGATTTATATATTGTGAACTGTTTATATAAATCTGAAATCATGAAAAACTCTAATTTTCTTTGGCATATTCTTTGATATTTTTAAATGAGGAGATAAAATAGTTCAACTATCTTTTTATCTGATTTATAAAATCGTACATGGAATATTTGGAAAACTAAAGAAAATTATAAAAAAGAGAATATGAAATTATTTTCAACAAATCATCGTGAGATGAACACGTCCTGAGGCACTGTGAGATGTACAGGATACCAAAGATACGATATTGAAGTCATCATAGAAAGATTACACTTTGAGTATAATGGATAGGTTTCTTACCATTCTCAGATGACCAAGTAGCTTTTTCTTTAACTATCATTATGAACTAATGAATTTAAGGATAGTTGATACACTAATACCCACAATTTTTATTCTTATCCTTAGTGAAACTCAAATTGCCCCATCATCAATAAGACTCTCTTCAATTTGCCTCCTGAATCTTTTTTATATGATTTTAGTGGTCCTTGCTAACTTCATTATTATACAATATGAAAAGATATTTCAATCATAAGTATATTTATCTTACACATTTCTTGGTAGACCTGGAATCAGCCATTCTCCAAGAAGCTCTAATTTCTTTTAGTGGGAACTAATAATTCAAGAGTTCAATCTGGGCCTAGGGGTGTTTATTACTCTTGGGTTGACGTTGTATCTAAGCCCTTTCAGTGAGCAGATGAAGGAAAAAACATACGTATGTGTGTGTGTTTTAAAGATAAAATGCATCATAAATTCATGCTGACATTTAATTAAAATTCAGGACTACAAAATTTTGCTTAACCATTTTTATATTACATTTATATTTTCTGGCTTCCTCACTAAGCATTCTAGTACTTACCAACACTAGGGACAGAATTAAAATATCTATAATGGCTCATTTAGTTTATCACACATTACATACCTGACAGTCTCAGCATGTCAGTATTAATAATACCATCACCACCAAGAAAAATAATTAAATATTTTGGGAGGATCATATGCTATCACTGTTCTCTCCCCCACCTTTTATGGTTGTGGTCTACACTGTCAGAACATATAGCCACTGTATACTATACTTTCACCTCCTTAATCTTTATTTAGTTGTAGTTCTAAAGAAAACTATATTAAATGTTTACCACTAGTTCTTATGTTAATAAGTCTCAGACATTTTGTTGTCTGGGCTTCTTTTCTAGTAGGTTCCTGAGAAAGAGCTCAAAGGAAAAATCGGCCCGAGTTCTTGTATGTTTTTTTACTATTTGTGTCTTTTATTTTTTTATATTTAAATGTGTTTATTTTTCTTTTTAACATATTTTTATTAATTTCAGAGAGGAAGGGAGAGGGAGAGAGAGATAGAAACATCAACAATGTAAGAGAATCATTGATCGGCTGCCTCCTGCATGCCCCCACTGGAAATCAAGCCCTCAACCCAGGCATGTGCCCTTGATGGAATCAAACCTGGGACCCTTCAGTCCACAGGCCAATGTTCTATCCACTGAGCCAAACCAGCTAGGGCTGTGTCTTTTATTCTTGAATGTCATTTTTGGAGGGTAAAAATTATTTGGGCACACATTTTCTCTCCTTGAGTATCTTAAATATGTTATTTTAATTTTTCTCATATAAAGTGTTGCTGTCAAAACACTGATGATGAGTTAATTTTCTTTTACTTAAAAGGCTCATGTTCTTTTTGCCTAGATGTCCTGAAGGTTTTTCCCTTTTCCTTACATTTCTGTAATTTTACTAGAGTATGTCTTAGTGTTGATTTATTTTATTAGGTACATGACATGCTTTATCAATATGTTTTCAAATCATTTTTTATTTTAATAAAGTTTTCTTGATTTATGGTTTTTAGGTTTTTCGTTTTTTTAATAATTTCTCAGGCACTCCTATAGCTATATGTTGGATCTTCTTTGCCTATTTGCAATACTTTCTACTTTTTCTTGAAACACTTACATTCTTTTTTTAACTTATAAATTTTATCCTTCTAATGATCTATTCTTCTTGAGAAATTATCTGTTGTATTTATTCACTCTTGTGTTTCTTCTACTTTGATTTTTTAAATTTCTAATTCCTTCTTGAGTTTTATCACCATATTTCTGTTTTATTAATTCTGATTTATGTCACTATTTTGTTATTAGCTGTTTCCTTTTTATCATTTATGTCTACTGTCATTTTCTTAAATTTTTTTAAATAGCAGGTTATAATTTTGACATGTTTTCTGGACTTGTATTTCTGACATGTTTTTATTATTTGTAGGGATGTTTTTCTGTCCTTTACTTTTTTCTTTTCCATATGATAGCTGTGTTTGGGATTTGGCTTTGATAATTTTATTTTTCTATTTTTTATGTGAAATTTGTTTTCTTGAACTTTGTTCAGGAAAGTATCTTGGTTTAGATAGCTTTTCTAACGCCACAGAGCTTCCTCTTTTGTTTTTGTGCATTAAAAAAAATATGGCTGTTTTCTTCCTGACATTTTGAGTCTCTGTTTCTCTCCTCATTCTTATCTGGACCTTCTTTTTCAATGTCTTATTTCAATGTCTCTGATCTGCTGAATTTTGATTCTGTTCCCCAGAGTGTGGAATCCTTTCCTGGGAAAGCCTTCGTCTGTAGAGTGGGCAAAACCCCTACCAGCTTCAGTAGCTGTTCTCAGATCATATCCTCTATCTCACTGTTGGCTGTTTTGGAGCGTTCCTGTTCTCAGAAACATCATATACCCTCATATATACATCCCTTTGCTTTTTCCTACACATACGCTCACATAGCGTAGGTCGTGTGGGGGTTGATGATTTTATTTGGGGGTTTATGGGATACCTTGCCACCTAGTTTTTAAATAAATATTGCTCATGAGGTTATGATTTTGCAATCTACTTACTCTATTTTTTATGTGGAGATTTGGAAAAATCTAAAATCTGTACTCCTATTTCTACTTATATCTTCCCAGAATTCTCAAATTCCTTTGAAAACAGTCTGGCTCATTTACCATGGCCCTTCATCTTCACAGCTAGGAGCCAATTGACAGAAAGAAAAAGTGAACTAAATACAATGTACTGTGTGTGTGTGTGTGTGTGTTTGCGCACGTACACTCGCTCATGTGGATTTGTTTGGGGAAGGGGGACTTAGCTGCTGACAGCATTGCTATATATGTTTGTGGGTGTATCCTAAAAGTCCAATGTTTTGACCAGAAATACTTTTCACATTTTGAACATGGGAAGTTTTCCCTTTGGTTTGTGGCATGAGCACTGTTTGTAGAACTAGCCTTTATTTTCAGATGTATTTTTGTCTCTCAAAATGACACAGGCACTACAACATTGCCAATTACTCTGAGATGGGTTAGTCTGTCTGCAACTATTTTCTAACCCCCCCCACCCCCGCCCCCGCTAGAATCTACAGCTATTCTGATGTGGAAAAAAATAAGACTTCTAATTGTGCTTCGAGTATTCCTGTTTGCCACTTACTTCACTTCACTGTTTTTAGTAGAGGCCTGGATGGGCCACACATAATTTCTAAACAAGGCTTCTTGAACAATTTCATTTTGTCACTTACAAACCACTAGGTAAGCTATTACTCTTGAGATCTGAAAAAACCAACTTGGGGAAATGGAGGGGTTGCTTTTAAGACAAATTTCTATTAATGTTAATGAATCAACGATTTGCTTATCCTTTCTTTTCTACTTATGCCATCATCTATTTTTAAACATCATGGCAACTAAAAGCAATTATATAAAATAAGATTTATTACATTGCTACATTTTAATGCAGATTTAATTTATACTTTTCAGATTTAACAGTACAATATTAAAGTTCAGAAATAGATATACTAAGAGCATAAAAATTCAAAAAATAAACATTTTCTATGTGCAAGGCACAGACAGCCTGTGATGTGAAGGGTTGGAAATCAAATGCCTACAGTAGCCAGAGGCATTAAATGTAAATAGGACCAAGAGTAATTCAATAGGGGCTCCTGGAGACTGAAGTAATCTAAAGAGAATTGAATTTGTGTTTATGAGGTACTGGGAAGATTAAAAAAATGCCTGTGTTCTCAATATAGTGTATATTCCTTCAAGTGTATGACACTTGATTCACTGTAAAATACATTTATGTAAAGTCTATTGAAGTGCTTAGCCAATTTATTAGTATGTAAGATATTTAGAAAATTATAGAATAGTTTTAAGATAAACAAAAGCTTCCCATGTATATGCAAGAAAACTCAGAAATGATTAGAGAATAAATGAACAGCCAAGCTCTTTATAGAAAAAATATATACTTTATTTTCAACTAGAAAGGTGCAAACATGTAACTTTTGGTCACACTCTCAACAAATAAACTGTCCAAAAAACAGTCGTAGTCAAAGTAGAGACAAATGCTTCCAGGTGGAAAATTGATCCGCTATTAGAGCCACTCTTATTTCAGTAAAAGCCACTTGTTCATTAAAAGTGAGGCTGTCACATTTCAACCTACACATCAGACTTCCAAGGGCATCATCACTGGCTCACCTTCAGCAAACAATCTGTTCTGATGGACTGTCACTCTAACTGAGCAGAATTCCCATTTGAATATCCATTTCATGCTTTGAATTATCAGACAAGCTTTACGCATTATTTATGGTGTTCAGAATTGAGGCTAACATTTGAAATATCAAAGCATTAACAACATAAACAAAAAGGCACAAACAACTTTAAATTAACTTAGATAACTGTACAAATATATATATATATATACACAATATTTACAATATCAATAAAAAAATCTGGCTTGTTACAGGCAAATTAGCTTGCCACAAGCTGTCCAGTCTAATAGACAGGATTCTGATTCCTGAATACTGTCATTCGAATCAGAATGTCAGAGCTGAATCTGCTGTTCTGACTTATAGAAGAACTTGACTCAGACTCATGATGGCAGAACACACATCCTAGCTGTCAGCTACCGGCTGGAGCTACGGGCAGGTCAGTGAACACGCTAAGGTTTTCCTTCTCAATAACACTCCAAATAGCAGGCACGTTTCTACTTTAAGATTTCAAGCCCTCCCACAGCCCCTAAAGCCACACCTTAGTATACATTCTGGTGCTATGTGCTAATGTAGTCCCACTGTCAAGTCTTTCTTCAAACCAGTGTCTGGGGTTGATAGACTATTTGAATGTCACATGGCACAATGTTTTTGAATTCGGAGGGAATTTTCCTTTTCCCCAGTTAGCAAAACCGATTTAAATAACTTGTGCTACTGAAATCATGTTTACACAAAAATGAGATGTGAATCAGTTCAAGTTACAGCTACATGAGTTAATGTCTCTCACTCTCTCTGGCTTTATGCCATGTCTCCATACATCTTCCTGTAGTAGGTTGACTCAAAGATGTCATTGTCTCCGGGACAGTTGTAATGGCAGGCACAGGTCTTGATGAACATCGTGCTCCTCTTCATGACCTCACCATCGGGACACTTGAACTCCACGGGAAGGGTGGTGGTTCTGTGAGGGGTGCAGCATCGGCCATCCGTGCATACTCCGCAGAACTTAGCCCGGTATGACTTCACACTGGTGCAGCCAGAAAACTCAAACTTGACAGGCTTGGAGATTTTGGGGGTACGGATGCACTTTTTGCCCTTCTAAGGAAGACAAGGGAGAAGAGAAAAATCAATGACTCTCCAAGGGGAGTGGCTTTCTCCAACCTCTGTGTGTTCTAGGCTTATGATGTCTGACTTCTGTTTATATTTTGAGGAGAGGAAGTTGGAGTCTCATTTGCCAGTTTTCTAAAAATAGGCAAAGCCTCTCTTGGGATGTCTTGAATTAACTACCACTGTGGAAGGTTTTATAGTGGAAAGCTGGTGGTTTCTATCACACAACATCACATCCAGCAACATAGCACAATAGTTAGATATTTTTGAAATATAATAGGCCTATAATAACAAGGGTGGTAGGAGACCTAACTCTGGTCCTATCTATTATCATTCCATAAAAATTAGTTAATAGGAGCAGAACAGGTACCTTAATGTTCTCCTCCAGGTCCACTTCGCAAGGCCTGACCATGCAGAGGCGGCTCTGCTTCTCCAGCCGGCAGAAGGCGTTGTCGTTGGTAACCCGGGTGGAGATGCCCATCCCACAGGTCTTGGAACAGGCACTCCACTCTGTGGTCTGGACCAGGCAGTTGGCTCGAATCATAGTTGGGTCTGGGCCAAACGTGTCTTCCAGTCGGTAAGCTGGGAGAGCAGAGCACACAAACACAAGGTAAGATGCCAGGATAAGACATTTGATTTGCCTCCTTCCCTTGGCAAAGTTAGGACTCAGCCCCTGGGGGAGAACTGCAACACTAACTTAGAAGATTCAACTCACCGGCAAGGGCAGGGCCAACCATGGTGTGGTCCTTGGGCTCATCGCACACCCACTCCTCACAGCATTTCCCGGGCAGCTTGACCCTTCGCGGGAAGGGGCAGTCAGGGCTGGGCAAACGCACGTCCATGCTGCACAGGGGCACGCAGCCCACGGCCCCGTCCAGGCAAGTGCACTGGTATTTGCAGCTGCTCTGGAAAGACTCTCCACTCCTGTACACCGTCCCTCCGAAGACGCAGGGGGCACCATCTTTGGCTGAAGGAGAGGAAGGAAAAAAGGGGGGTTACTGAGGTCAGGCATAGGTCCCTGATCCTGTAGGCGCGCTGGGCATGCCAGTTGGGAGCAGGGCTACGGAGGAGGTGGTGGGGGTGGGGGTGGGGCTGGAAACAGCCAGAGGAAGGGACTGGACTCCAGAGGCTCATTTTCTGGCGGGGGGGTGGGCGTGAGGGAGGAGG